CGACTTATTAGCTAAATTAAAGGGCACCCGTTTAATTAATCAAACGCTATTAATTATCGCGAATAGGCGCGTACGTCGTTATTCTAAACATATTTCTTCAAATAATGAGAAAGATAACTTTGGCAATACTTGATATGGCAAATAATATAATTCGATAAAATAGATATTATCATGAAACGTGTGTGGATAATTTCGAAAGCAATGGTATTGTTTGAATATATTTATAATAAATTGTACATGAAAATAGTGAATGCGATTAAAAGAGAGAAAAGAAAGATTACCATACACGAATCGAACAAGGTCGTGCAACAGGTTTTGCAAGGGGTAAAGATGATGAAGCACGCGAACTACTTAGAATCTTTCAAGTGCACACTCGTAAACGAGTTTCTTTCTTCATTCTCGTTGTACGAATAAAGCGATCGCCGGACCTACAATGTGTTCTGAATCTTTCGAAATATGCCTATAATAGAATATACAGGGACAAAGTAGTATTCTTTATATTATATTTATTTACATATTGTATCGTAGAATCATTTTCTGCAGAGAATCTTTCCTGCTATTCGCATACTTGCATAAAATATATCTTACACAATTATAAAAAGAAATGTGAAAAATAATTACTAACTTGTTTGGATTTAAAAATAATCTTGATTTACATAATATTAAAATATTTATTATTAAAAATTATAAAAAGATTAAGAAATATAATCTCAAATTAAAGTCTAGCAAAGAAAAATTATTATCGAATATATAAGATGTATGTATTAAAATATAAAAATTAATACAATTTCAGAAAAAGTAATCAAAGCTTAGTGTGTGTTTCTCGTGTTATGTAGTCTAATAAAAAGAAAGAAACTAATCAATAATAAAGATTTAAAACATTTGCCATATTCTTGTAGTTCGTATTGCAATTTCACTTTTACACTATAAAAACTTCTCTTTATTTCTCTCGCGAGACATTTATTTTGCTTCTAACGTTGTTTGTTTGTTGGAGTTTTTTTTCTGAGTCCAGCCTGTTCGTTTCTCCTATTCTATGCACGATCACGTCTCACTTATTTACGGATTCGAAACTCGTCCGTGAACCAGAATGCGTTCCGTGTATTTGTACCTTTGGTCCTGTCTCTTGAATTCAGGGAGACAAAGGGAATATTGGATTCCTGTCGCGCTACGTCGACCAAACAGCTTGTCGTCGTAGCTAATGCACGAGACGAAATTTACAACGAGAATTTATCTCGCCTAGCTTGGCATGAAAAAAGCGCAGCCGAGAAATATATATATAGCAGAAATGTATCTCTTATCTTTATTCCATCCTATATCCTTCTCGCTCATAAACAATTGGTCGGAGAAAGAGAGAGGATTTTAATAATAACTTTTCAAGAGAAGGAAATGACGATAAAGATAATGCACGATACCGAATAATGTGTGATGACGGATGTAGTCCTCCAATTCTGATGTCGACATAATGCACCGGATAGAGAATACTCATGACTCATTACAATACACTGCTGTACTTATTTTATTAAAATCGATATTTTAATGTAATCTTGCGTTCAATGAAATAATATGATATATGTAATGATATCATATTGACATTTTCGTATAATACAATTCCTATGATTATACTGATTTTCAAATGATTAATTCGGTATTCAAGAAGAAAGGCATTTTTTCTGGTTACATGGAAATAACCCATAATTTGAGTATTCATGGGATGAGCTGTACACACATGATCCGCTTGATGCGTGCTAAAAAAAAAAAAGAGGCAAAACCCGTTGGATACTCTAATAACAGGATACTAAGGCGGATACGAAAGGGTGACGAGCGGTACGCATTACAAAGTGTCACGGACGCGTCGCTGATGGAGTGTCACGGACACGCGTCACTTCCACATTTCTACCTACCTACTTCCACGCACGTTGGACGCAAACGAAAAGTGTTCGAGGTCGGAACCGCGCGAGACGCGTGACAACGGTCAACCGGAAGTGACGGGCTCTACTCGCGATCGAGAGCTACTTTCTTTTTACTTTCAAGATCTTAACCAGAAGCGATAAGATTCAAACGCTTGTCGTCATACATGAGTAGATGAAGCTTTCCAGTGGAAACGTGCGTTGGAAAAAATGAGAAATTATATTAAAATTGTAGCCAAGTATGAGGAAACTTTAATATATTTTCAAACCGACCAGGATACTGATAAGAGAGAACGCGGTTTTTCCTTCTCGTAATAATTCGGAATGAACTGCAGTTGCTCATCCAACGTTGTTTCAGGGTTTCATGACGAACAGCTGTCTATGACGGAATGTGAGTCGTGCCAGCCACGATGCTTCACATTGCGAGATCGTGTAACACATGACGGGAGTTTTAGTTACATCCGTACATATTATCTCTTTTTTTTCTCTCTCGAATGACGTACATCTACGAGTCTCTCGCTTGTATTTGCGTCTGACTCGTATCGGATCTCGGAGATGGATTTGTTTTTTCAAGCGATAATCCAACGTAATGTTTTTTATAATACTGTTAATATTGTCAAGCGATAATCCAACGTAATATTTTTTTATAATACTGTTAATATTGTACAGTGGTTCCTTTTGTGGAGTAATTTAATTGTGGAGCAATTTTGCCAAAAATTCAAAGATACTATTTTTTTTATCATAAATGATAAATTTTCGACTGCTGGAATCGTGCATCGCTTTTCCCATATTTTCAATCATCGCCAGCGTGTGCGCAGATATATAATTTCAATTACGAATTATATTTGCTTCCTTCTCAGTATTTCAAAATAAATGAAATATTTCGCACCAGCTACGCATTTTCTGATTTTTCTTTCCAAGCTCGTCGGGAAACTATTCAGACCTTCTTTGTACAATTAGAAGTTTTTGTCGTCGTTCATGCGACAATGGGCATGAGGGATAAGCTGTCGTGAGGGATAGAATCGAGAGAAGCGAAGGGAAGGTGGAAAAAGAGACATTGCGATAGACGAAGATAGAGCGAGGATCAATATGCACCTCACACTGTCACGAGCGAATAGGAGAAGTGATTTCGTCGCTCTAGCTTCTAAAATGAATGTCGAGAGATTCATTGTATTGTTACCGGTAATCAAAATAATCATTTAATATATCAATGTTAAACCCTCGCATTAAAATAATTAATTAAATTAAACATCAAATTATATTATTAATAGTCAAATAATTGTTTCTTCTAAATTTTTACGTTTATATTAATTTCTAAAAGTCAATTTTCGTTTTATTTTATTATAAATAAATATTGTAATTGCTCTTCTGACAGTTGTAACTGAAATTTGATTAATCGCCTGGGATCATCCTGTCATATCGTTTTTTATATTCGATGTGCAGTACAAGATTAATTTCCCATCAAATATATTTGGGATTTAAACTGTGCGTAGGACAGTCCATATTCAATAAAATGCTTATTTGTATATTTAAGAAGAAATATAGCTGGATATGTATTTCCCTACAGATGGAATTATTGAATATTGAATATGCACGTATATCAAACATCGTTCGCAGTAATTCCCCCATCAACACGTCAACGGCAGTGTTATAGATTCGTATCTTTCCCACGTCTCTGGGAACGCGCTGTTTCCCAGTGTGTATATGCACATACTGTATGTCCGCGGTTTATTCATAACTACGAATATAGTGTATATCCATTTCGAATCAACATACCGTTTGTTTCCCATAAACAACTGCCTTTCAATCTTTTGCACTCAGTTGAAGCATTTCAGAGCTATCAACCTCTCGCTGAACATTTTATGTTTATAAAAAAATTATATTAATTAAATTATTATTAAATTATATTATTATATTATAAACATAAATATTATTATATTATAAACAAATGTTATTATATTATAAACATTATTTAATAAAATTGAAACATAATTTATTTGCAAAAAATTGATATGCTGATTAGCTTGAAAAGCTATAAAAAATTTTTATACGAAAAATGATTTAATGAATTTCGAAATTATGTTTTACTGTTTAGAAAAATAAAAGTAATGATAGATTTCGAAGGATCATGCATTCGCAAGTTAATAGCCAATATTTTATAATGGAGAAAGCGAAACGTTGAACGGAGAGGTCATTAAACGCTGTCCACCTAGAACATATCGTGGGAACCAAGATATCGTGTAAAATATTAAGTCGAATTAAATAATCATTATTATATAATAGGATAAGCAAGTTCTTTACCACTATCGATATTACTTTACATAAACGAAAATAAAGACAGACAAGAATTGACGATGAACGACGATAAGTGATAATTTACTTGATCCTTTTCAACTTCTCGATCATCTATAAGGATACCAGAACCTTGAAAAGATATACTGCTCATTTATAACGGGTCTTTACCGAGGTTGACTCACGGATCATGCTTACAATATTACGTGGCAAGATGGCATAAAAATACACAAGCATTGAAACGAATTTGAAATTCAGCATTGTTGCATGAAACAGTTAGGCGTACGCATATTCTTATAAAATCATATCTTTGCATAGAATGTACTGCATAATTTGATTTTACTCAAGCTTCTAGTATACTCATTAATACGATTAATTATTTATCAAAGTTTATAATAAATATAATAAATTAATAAGTCTTGCTAATAGAATAAAAATTTATTGTTTTTTTGCTACCATATATTTAATCTATTTATTTGCTAAAGCAAAATATTACATATAAAAATATATTTCATTAATAATAGAATAGAGATCAATTTACGGTTATTAAAATAATTCGCAGATTCAGTATAAGTTATTCTCAGCAAATAAAATAGTTTATATTTTTAACAGTCTTCCTGTACTATTTACATACAATAACTGAAATGAAATTCGCTACAATAGCACGATATATTGTACATGCTAGCTTCTTGTCTGTATGTTAAATACATATTATTCTAATGCAAATGTAGCTGCAGAGTTAATAATTACGATACGATACACACGTGCGAATTAATGCAATCCCTATGTGTTTCGCCGCAGGTCACATACTCGGCTGATCTCGCGATCGAGATACCAGGCAATCTAAGCCAGGGTGGTTCCTGGTATCGTTTGGATTACAGCCCAAACGTCGGCTCTCCACCGCCAAATACCACTATAGCCGCCACCGAGATCGGTGATGTCATAAAGTTTAAAGACGGCCTGCCCGGGACGAGATATGAATATTGGTTGTACTACAGCAATAGTACTCTTCACGACTGGCTGACATGGACCGCCTCGATTACGACACGTACGTGATTCGATGTTGTTGAGCGATGATTATTTTTAATTAAAGCATTTTAACTCTTTTATGATCAAAATATGAACGATTCTCGTTTTTTTTTCGCTATTTTTGAATTAAACAGTGCTTAATGTCTAAAAGTGCAATTTATTTTCTTAAATTAATGACTGGAAAACACGCAATCAGCAGATTCTTATGACGAGAGGTTAATTAAAATACAATTTTCTTCTCTCAATAGCGCCCGATCCGCCCTCAAACTTGACGGTATCGGTACGAAATGGGAAAACCGCGATCGTATATTGGTCCCCTCCGGTCCAAGGGAATTATTCCGGTTTCCGGTTGCGGACGCAGAGCTTCAGCGACACCGGAAATCCCAAGACCAGCGTCATCCCAGTCGACTCGGTGCCGTATACACTCCGAGATCTTACACCCGGTGCCACGTACTCGCTTCAGCTCTTCACCGTGCTGGACGCCAAGGAGAGCGTCGCTTACACCAGCAGGAACTTTACGACAAGTATACATAATTGATAGAATAATACCTAAGTAATTTTATCTCGCGTCTTGTATAAAATCGTGTTGCATCGAATTTTTTGTAGAACCGAATACTCCGGGAAAGTTTATCGTCTGGTTCAGGAATGAAACGACGCTGCTGGTGCTATGGCAGCCGCCTTATCCTGCCGGAATATATACGCACTACAAAGTTAGTATAGATCCACCGGACGCCATAGAATCTGTTCTCTATGTAGAGAAGGAGGGCGAGCCGCCTGGTCCTGCACAGGCAGCTTTCAAAGGACTCGTTCCAGGTCAGCTGTTTGCTATCACGTAATTACACGCGCTGAACACTATCGGATATACCAAATAAACGAGATTCTATGTAAATTACGTAAGCGAATTTCAAGAGACACTATTGTATTATGCCGTGAGAAATTAATTTTGACAAAAATAGGAACTGTGTAGTTGTGTGTGTTTTTTAAGTTGCAATGTTACAAAATATTTATACACACGCGTTAAAATTGAATCAACCACCTTATTGTTTCCTTTTTCTGGATATGCGAAGCGGAACTGTTTCAAATAGAATCGCAGAGAAAGTATTCGCTTGCAATTAAATAGAGCAGTTTATGAATTCCAAGACGAGTGAATCGTACAATTGTATTAATATTTATTTTTTTCTAAAACTAAGATATTTTTTCCAAAATCTATTAAAAAATCTTAAGCAGGCCTGTCAAGAAAAATTTCCTACGTTAGAGAACTTAATCTATATTCATTATACAATATAAGACAAATAATTATAAAAATATTAATTTCGGTCTAATTAAGTTTATAGAACGTATCGTTTTCTACGCTTATGCTTCTTTAATTCACTTGATTATACAAGTATAACAGCATTTGTTATCACAACTGTTATCTGCAGTATTTCTTAGAAAGCTAATTGTGTAATAGAAAAATAACTTGTATCTTATAAGAATTCGAAGAAATGACTACTATTATGACAAACTACTTGACTTTTAGAGTTTAAATCAAATCAATGCAAATATTTCCTTGATTTATAACTACGCATTTTTCAAATTGTTTTACATAATAAAATAACTTTCAAATTAATTTTAAATATTAACTCAAGTGATCGTCTATCGTATGCATCAAATATTTAATAAAACCAATTATAGACATATTTGGAACAAATACACAGATCTTGAAAAAACAAAGTTATTTTATTTAAAGCTTGTTACAAATGATATATTAATTATTGATGAGGTCCAATACAAAAATGCAATATGTTGCGATATTGAATTATAATTAATATTTAAATATTTAAAATAATTAATATTTAAAATAAATATTTAAAATAATTAATATTTGATACATCATTTACAAAAACAGGAGGAAAAATTGGATTGGTCTTCTAAATTGTCTTCATATTACAGGTAGAGCGTATAACATTTCCGTGCATACTGTATCCGAGGATGAAACGTCCGCGCCCACCACAGCTCAGTATCGTACAGTGCCGTTGCGTCCCCTCAATGTGACCTTTGACAAATCTTCCATAACGTCGACTTCCTTCCGCATGTTTTGGAATCCGCCCAATGGAACTTCCGAGTTTGACAAGTATCAAATATCCCTTGGCAGTAATCGGAGGCTCGCGCCTGTCACGCGAAACCGGGACGACGAGAACAGATGGGAGTTCAAGGATTTGGAGCCTGGCAAGACATATCAAGTGGTCGTGAAAACAGTTTCTGGCAAGGTCACCAGTTGGCCGGCCAGCGGAGATGTCACTCTGAGTATGTTTTCTTCTTTGCACGCATTGCTTCTTAATTTAGCGTCCGCTAAAACCAATACGCTTTTCTCGTGATTATTTTAAGTAGACGATTTCTTGATTTCTTTTTTGTATTTTTAGAACCACTACCTGTTCACGATCTTAGAGCAGTGATCGATGAGAAAACTGGTATGGTGGAGGTTTCCTGGAGTCCGGAGAATTCCAGTACACAAGATAGTTATAAGTTACAATATCACGAAGTGGAAACGACGATTGGTGGCGATAGTAATACTTTGACGACTGATAAAACAAAGGTTAATAAATTATTGAATGAAATAATCCCTCAGTCATTGTCTAATTCGTGTCAATCGCATTATTTTTTATTCCTCTGACATAATTGTTAAATCTACAGGTTACTCTGGAAGCTCTCCTGCCAGGAAGAAATTATTCCATAATAGTGCAAGCAATTAGCAATAAAGTCGAATCAAACGAAACCGTCCTGTACCAAGCGACGCGTCCAGCCAGTCCTGTGATCGAAGATCTGAAGCCTATTGAAAAGGGTTTGAATATTTCCTGGAAGAGCGATGTCAATTCCAAGCAGGAGAAATTTGAAGTAACCCACAATAGAAACGACACCGGAGAAAGTGCGACTACTCTGACTACAGAATCGCATATAGTTTTGGAAGATCTTTATCCTGGTGCAGCATACGAAGTCAAAGTTTTTGCTATTAGTCATGGACTTCGGAGCGAGCCGCATGATTATATGCAAGCTGTTCGTAAGTAATAATCATTTTCTAAATTTTTTAGATTTTTTTAAATTTTACCTTTTATTTAGTATCAATTGCACAAGTTTTTTTGACCTGCTAACCATCTTAAATTATTTTTCAGTACCTTATCCACCGAAGAATCTCAGTATCGAGAAAGTTACGAGCAATACTGTTGTCGTGCATTGGGAAGCTCCAACGAACTCAATATTTACTGAATACTCCATTAGATACCGTACAGAAGATGATCCTAGGTGGGTCAAACTCCCAAGCGTTCGTGATATGGAAGCGGAAGTCGCGGACATGACAGCCGGCGAGAGGTATACTATACAAATCAACACTGTCAGTTATGGCGTCGAAAGTCTGTATCCGTTACAAGTGAATCACACAGTCAGTAAGTACAATTTTTTAATAATAGTTAATGTATTTAAATAATTAACAGTGGGATTTCATTTTTAAATAAATTTTCTTATCATTTTAGGACCCAATCCAGTTTTAAATATCACCCCAGTCATCGACTCTACCAACGTAACTCTCGAATGGCCGAGACCAGAAGGTCGTATTGAGATCTATGTCATAAGATGGTGGCCAGTAAAGAATCCAGAGGACTCTAGATCGAAGAATGTCAGCGAGAAGAATGTATCCGATATTAGTTTTGAGGGGCAAATCAGAAAGGTCTTGATGAGCGACTTAATGCCTGGAGTACAGTACTTCTTCGTTGTCTACACGATGTCTTACGATCTAGTTAGCGACATTAGTAATTTAACCACACGAACGAGTGAGTGCATTGCTTTTCTTCGTCATTATCGACGAGTAAAATTTCATTAGCGTATCTGTTATTTTTCACAAATTGTTTGACAGCTCATTAACAAATTTCGCCTCAGTATTAATAGACGTTTTTATTTTCCTTTATTACTAATCTTGCCCGCTTTGTCCGCTTTTCTGTTTTATTACGTTATATTCATCTGTCAAAATTTTTTATTGACAATCTCAAAGCTGACAATGAGCGATTAAGATGATCATAGTACGCCGATTCATAATTAGGCAAACAAAAACGAGACTTTGAAATTTAGTGCCGCTGATCCAGTCCGAGGTCGTCGTAGTGGTCGATCGGGATCAACCGGGGTCGTTGACGTTGCGATACACGCCAACACCGATACAGTCTTCGAAGTTTGATCTCTACCGATTCAGGATTAGCGATGACGATAATACCACGAAAGAGCGTATGGTAGATGACACTGACACCAAGATTACATTTGTTGGATTAATACCTGGCAAATTGTATAATGTGACCGTTTGGACAGTAAGCGATAATGTAGAGAGCAGACCTCTCTTTCGTCAAGACCGACTCTGTAAGTATCAGTAATGCAGTTTGATTATGATGATAATTCCTTCTAGAAAACGTTAATTCTCCGATTTTTATTGAATTCATGAGTGATCCATGAACGCTACGTCTAAATTGTTTAAAATCAGGGGATTAAATTTCTAATATTTTTGTATCTAACATAATTTAGTTTACAAACACTTCACTTAGAAGCATGGTATTATATCTTTTTTCTTGACATATTACTTATATATTTTATATTATGCATTATATTATACATTATAATACATAATATATATGATATAACATTACTTTACATATGCACTATCAAAAGATAGTAAATTAAATAAGAATAATATCTTTAATATTTTATTTTTTATATATTGATAGTTTTTTAAATATTACTTTATATATTGATTGATATATTATTTGTATAATAATTCTAATTCCACGGGGATATAGTAAATTTAATTATTCATACACATTTATTTATATTAGTTTATATATTTATTTATTATTTTTCTACTAGAGATATATTTATTCACACCAATAAAAAAAATTCTTTTAATTTTACACAAAAACAATCAAATAATCTTATATTATAAAACTTCTTTATTAATTAATTTTTAAGAAAATAAATATGATTTTTAGATCCCGAACCGGTCACTGCAATTCACGCGATTGATGTGAATGATACGAGGATCACGTTGACCTGGGACAGCCCGCACGGAGAGTATGATACTTTTGAAGTACAATATATAAACACAGAAGGGAACTACATCCAAAATATAACTTCGGACAACACGATTACCATCTTCGATTTGAAACCGCATAGAAATTATACATTCACGCTGGTTGTACGTTCGGGTACAGAATCTTCTAACTTGAGAATCTCAAATCCGCTCAGCGCCAGTTTCACTACTAGCGAATCGTATCCAGGAAAAGTGGAGAAGTTTCATCCTATCGACATTCAACCGAGTGACATCAGCTTCGTCTGGTCTCTACCTAGTCAGGAACAAAATGGCATCATTAGAAAATTCAGCATCACTTACAGCTTAGAGGTAAGATTCTCTTTTCCAAAAATACTTGTATGAAAAATATATATTTTTGTACAATTTAAAAATTACGCGAAAGAGAGATGAGATTGCACCGCATAATGTTGAAGAATATAAATGTAGCACTTTAAAAGTTACACGAATATTTTTTCGCGATTCCACTAGGGTTCAACCTACACTCAAGTGCAGGACTTCAGGCCGAGCGAGTTCCGCGGCGTTATCAAATCTCTCGTACCAGGTAAGACGTACGTCTTCCGGATTCAAGCGGAGACCAAGATTGGTTTTGGTCCTGAGGCAATCTGGAAGCAAAAGATGCCGATTCTGGCACCGCCAAAGCCCTCTACGCAAGTAGTGCCAACGGAGGTCTGCAGAAGTAGCACGACGATCCAAATTAGATTCAGGAAGAATTACTTCAGCGAACAAAACGGGGCAGTCACATCGTACACCGTCATCGTCGCTGAAGACGATAGCAAGAACGCTTCTGGACTGGAGATGCCCAGTTGGAGAGACGTTCAGGCTTACAGTATTTGGCCACCGTATCAGGTACATTTTATTGCTCGTTTATTTATTGCATAGTTTTTCTATTATAATCCTAAGTATACAAGCATCTTTAATTAAACGAGAATATATTTATTTTATAAATTTAGATATTCAGATATTGTATTGCAAAATGATATAATTTACAATCTTTGAATTGCAAATTATATAATATCATAAAACTGATGCAGTATTGAATTTTAATAATCATTAAATATAAATAGAATTTTCTTCTTGTAAAAATCAGAGTCAATTTTAAATTGCAAGTGCATGCAATATATCAAAGTAATAAAACGATCAAACGTTTAATTGATGCAATACATTATATCGCGCAACACATTGATTTGCAAGATCATGGACGATTGTCGTAAAATGTATGCATTATGACGTAGATTCGCGATTATGCATAAACGTTCGCGGACTGCGGCTAGTATATTATGCACAGACCGAAGGATACACGTAATGTTAGTTGTGATCTGAAACTGCGAAGGTGAAGATGTGGTTTTACCGTGATATTTTAGAAAATAAAATCATATAATTGTGTTTAATTATTTACGTGATCATAAAGGAATAAAATAAAACGTGACCATAAAGGAATATAATAAAAAAAATATACACTTGAAATTTACAATTTAAAAAATTTGTATACTTGAAATATACAAGTTATACAGTTTTTAATCTTTGACGATTTTTCTATTGTTTTATTGAATCATGTATTATTAGATTTAATTGAAAATAATGTGCAAAATCGTGAAACATTCAAATATCAGATTAGATGGTTACCTTGAACATTTTGTGATAGATATTAATGTACTAATTATGTGTTTAATAAACATTGGATTAATTATCGACTACAGTTTTTTGTGGCTAAGTGATTTAATATCATGAGTATTATCATTAACGTTCTATTAGAATTGAATTAGATAGAATGAAATTGCGCAGCAAATAAAAGTAAAGTGTTTTGCGGAAAAGAACGACACGGAAAATCGCATTTTATAGTTATGAACATTTTAATAAATTCTACGATGGATATTTTGAACAATTTAATTTCAAAGACCAAGAAAATATTTACGCAGGTTTTTATAATAATTATATATGTAGTTATATATATATATATAGTTATAAGAAAAGAATGATCTTATTTTAGATATACAGATATGTCAAAAATATACAGAATATTAATTATAAAGATTTAAAAACAAAATACATAATAAATTGAGAAAATGATTGAATTAGTATTTAAAGAACTTTATTTTGTGTTACTGTTTTGTTATTTGCAATTATTATAAATATTATTATAAACATTACTATTATTATTAACATTAGCCATTATTTTACGTTAATATTTATAGGTGATGGAACCATATTATCCTTTCAAAAACGGATCTGTGGAGGACTTTACGATTGGCTCTGAAAACTGCGACAACAAAGTTGGATACTGTAACGGACCATTGAAATCGGGATCTACTTATCGGGTGAAGGTGCGAGCGTTTACAGCACCGGACAAATTTACGGATACCAGCTACAGCTTTCCCATCCAAACAGGTGAGAGCGATCGCGTGAAAAGTCTCAAGGCATTAAAGAAGAAAGGAATCGCGTGCCATTAACATATCCGATGTCTCTCATTAGTCAAGTAGTAAAATTTTACATATATGTGTATCAAAAAGATAATGATAATGATAATATACACACATCGGATACGTTAGGTGATTTGTAAAGCTTTAGAGGCACACTGCGCATGTAGTGAAAGCCTCGCTAAATTCATGCCTCGTTATTTCGTGTACATGTCTGCCCAAGGATTGCTGCTGGCAGGTAAGATCTCAGGAATAAAAGTCTTACGCACGCCTCGCGAGATGAATGCAACAATTCTTTTTTTAGCGCGAAATCTATCTAACTCGCACTATCCTTGACGATCGTTTGATTCATTGCGAAATTTAAAATTCGCTGTGCGTATCAAAACAGATAAGGACAACACAGCTATCATAGTCGGTGTCACCGTCGCCATAGCATTGCTGCTGTTTCTATTGGGCATCGGGCTGTTTATGCGAAGGAGAAGAAGTCAGGGTCGCAAAACGACAGAAACCAGGGCAACCGACAACCTGTCATTACCGGATAGCGTTATTGAGACTAGGTACCAAGAAATTATAACATTATTTTATTTCAAAATTTTTATCCTGAGAAAAATTTTTCCTTTATTTTTAAATTCTCGACATATTTCTTAGATATTCTGCGTATAATAATTATATTAATTTTAAATAATTACGAATAATTTATGCAACTTTACAGTTCAATTTTCCCTTTCGAAAAATTTATATTATATAGTATCATTCATAAAACAACATAATATTTGCTGTTATATCTATTACAGTCGGCCTATTAAAGTCGAAGATTTTGCCGAGCATTATCGTACAATGTCGGCGGATTCTGACTTCCGGTTTTCAGAAGAATTTGAAGAGCTGAAGCACGTCGGAAGAGATCAGCCTTGCACAGCGGCGGATTTACCCTGTAACAGGCCAAAAAATCGATTTACGAATATTCTTCCGTACGATCACAGCAGATTCAAGCTTCAACCTGTCGATGATGAAGAAGGTTCCGACTACATCAACGCAAATTATGTTCCGGTAAAAATTGGATAAAAATATATTTATTTCTACTAGAAATATTTAAATTTGATAAAAATATTTTAATTTAGTAAAAATATCAATTTTAATTTTACAATATTATAAATTTTATATTTTACAATAATATTAATTCTTTTCTGAAATTTTTTATCCGATATAACAGGGTCACAACTCGCCAAGGGAGTTTATCGTGACCCAAGGACCTTTGCATTCGACTCGAGACGATTTCTGGCGAATGGCGTGGGAGAGCAATAGTAAAGCTATCGTAATGTTAACGAGATGTATCGAAAAGGGCAGAGAAAAATGTGATCATTACTGGCCGATGGATACTTTACCGGTATATTATGGAGACATTTCTGTCACGATACTAAACGAGACGCACTATCCGGATTGGAGCATTACGGAATTTATGTTATGCAGAGTGAGTGACTGTATTTCTTCCATTACGTTTATTACGAATACATATTAAAACGTTATTTGGTGATTGCATCATTTCTCCTGAATAAAACTTGACGATAGCTTGTCATCCTAAAATATCTTATCACAGGGCGATGCAAAGAGAATGATACAGCACTTTCACTTTACCACCTGGCCGGATTTCGGCGTTCCCAGTCCACCTCAGACTTTGGCGAGGTTCGTGCGAGCGTTCAGGGAACGTGTTAGGCCCGATCAGAGGCCGATAGTCGTTCATTGCAGTGCCGGCGTAGGTCGTAGCGGTACCTTTATCACCCTTGACAGAATACTACAGCAAATTCTCGTATCGAAGTACGTTGACATCTTCGGAATCGTCTGGGCGATGAGGAAGGAGCGAGTCTGGATGGTTCAGACGGAGCAGCAGTATATCTGCATTCATCAGTGTCTTCTTGCTGTCCTGGAAGGACAGGATACTACTGGACCACCACGAGAGATTCATGACAATCAGGGATTCGAAGGTACATCTTAAAATTCTGTCGAAATATTCTGAATTTTAATCGAGACGATTGCGACACAAATTGAGTGATCAATGACCAAGTGCGACTTAAAGAATGCATCAAGATAGGTAATTGAAGTAAGATTATTGAAAAGTTGAGGAGCTAAAGAGGTAGTGCATGTATTGAAAAAAGTCTAAATGGAGTCTATTTGTAATTTGTTACCCGTTTTCTCTCTTATATAAAGTCTTTTCTTGCACATGGAAACAGGTTAAATATTTCACAGAGAATACCAGAATTAATAAATCGTTATTCGAAAGATAAGAAAATATTTTATAAAAAGGAATACGTATTTTAAAAATAAACTAATTGATTATTTTTATGATAATAGTAATAATATGGTGTGGGCGGTGATGGTGGTATAAGCACACATGTATTGTATCTTGAGAAAATCATATATAGTTGTTTTTCTTTTTGTAAATCACATCCTTCACCTAATAACTCACACCCCCCCCCATCTGCAATCTTTTGGGACCTTTGTTGATATTCAGGCAAGAATCGAAGCTCGGTCGAAAACACTAAGAGTCCTGCCGAGGATGAGAAGGAGAGGTGACCTTCGAACAGCGACTCCTGCGTCGATGGTAATTTCGATCGTTGCTTTTCCTTTTTCCTGCATGAACCTATATGTTGCAAAAGTTGTATGTAAAATTTGTATATTAATGGTGTGTATGTTTGTATGTGAAAGCATGATTGAGAAAAAGAGAGAGAGAAAGAGAGAGAGAGAGAGAGAGAGAGAAAGAGAGAGAGAGAGAGAGAGAGAAAGAGAAGCAAAAAAAATAATTTTATTAAACAATTGATATAATACTTTATTAACAATAAAAAACAGAGAATGCTTGCCTGTATTTTATATAATAATTATCATAATTTTTCGTATAAAAATGTTAGCTAAATAAATGCAGTGGCCAAAATTACTGATCAACTATTAAAAGAATTGCTTGGAATGAATTTTTTTCTAATTTTGCCTCATTAATATACATATATTAATCTTTCAATCACAAATTTTTATTACAAATTAAGATTTATATTACGCAGATTATGTCACAGATTATGTCAGTTATACAGGGTGTCCGTCAATTTTCGACCTTAACGAAATAAAGAAGTACGGATTATAGTGGGACGACTCTCGTCGCCGCGCGCTTCTACTCACGCAGATTGGCCGATCTTCTTTATTTAATATTTCATTAATTATTGCGACAATCCCAAAACAATACAGGTCATTCTTAATTTGAGCCAATCTATTTCTTTATTTCGTTAAGGTCGAAAATTGACGAACCTATATATAAATATTACACGTAAGTGTGAGTCCAAGAAGCAGATTTCGGATATTCACTGTAAGTCAACCGCTCCTCGAGCGATCGGGACGAGATTTAAACGGTAGTGCCGCGAAATGGTGTAGAATTTTATGCAAAAAGAACGAAATCGCTATCGCGTCCGGAAGTCGAGATATAAATTGGCCGTTTTTCGTCTACGTGCGGACGGTCGAAATCGTGCACGACGCCGCACATGTTGCTTGCCGCTCTCGCGCGATATTCACTGTAACGCGGCGAGTAAAATGGCAAGTCGAATGCAATCGTTCGATTAATTCGTTAAATATTTATATATACCGAACGAGAAAGCGAACCAGAATGTAATCGTTCGATTAATTAATTAAATACTTATATATATCGAACGAAAAGATGAATCGGAATGCAATCGTTCGAATAATTAATTAAATATTTATATATATCGAATAAAAAAGCGAGTCGGAATGCAATCAGTCGAATAGTGAATTAAATATTTATATATACCAAAAGAAAAGATGAATCGGAATGCATTCGTTCGATTAATTCGTTAAATATTTATATATATAAATATTTAACGAATTAATCGAACGATTGCATTCGGCTTGCCATTTTACTCGCCGCGTTACAGTGAATATCGCGCGAGAGAGGCAGGCAACATGCGCGGCGTCGTGCACGATTTCGACCGTCCGCGCACAGACGAAAAACGGCCAATTTATATCTCGACTTCCGGACGCGATAGCGATTTCGTTCTTTTTGCATAAAATTCTACACCATTTCGCGGCACTACCGTTTAAATCTCGTCCCGATCGCCCGAGGAGCGGTCGACTTACAGTGAATATCCGAAATCTGCTTCTTGGACTCACACTTACGTGTAATATTTATATATAGGTCCGTCAATTTTCGACCTTAACGAAATAAAGAAGTAGATTAGCTCAAATTAAGAATGACCTGTATTGTTTTGGGATTGTCGCAATAATTATCGAAATATTAAATAAAGAAGATCGGCCAATATGCGTGAGTAGAAGCGCGCGGCGACGAAGGTCGTCCCACTGTAATCCGATACTACGAACGCGGCGAAGCGGTGAGCGGGTCGCTCTCCGAGACATGATGGTGGTTTGCGATATATCGTAATACCGCGCCGAATAATGACCCGTCCTTTTCGTGACGAGAAAATGATGCGCTATCATTTCCACACCACCTTGCGGTAGATAGCATGGTGCGCTTTTTTTATAGTGGTTTCCCCCATAGGCCTATTCCACTCTCAATTTGAAAATTATTCAAAATGCCATTACTATACGTTGAATATATCGTAAATGTAAAAAATTAATGGTGACAGTACCTTTACAAAAATTGATCCGTGGTTGAAAATCCCTCGATAAAATGTATTGCACACGTTGATAATGATACGATGATAAAATGCTTCAAGAATCCTTTCTTTATCTCGTACACGAAGGCGCACTGCTGGATCGGTTATCCCGATACTATGCACGACACCCAGTTTCACATAATTATTGCACAACACGTGAAATTATACGGCCACTTGGTTTTCGTGCACGCCCGAGAAATGATTCCATGTAAATTGCGGCCGCACGATAAGTATTTTCTCCCGCTAGTCCGTATGCCACAATCATATCCATATATTCCTGCAGAGTACACTTCATTTTCTCTGTTAATTTCCTACGCAAACACAAGATTTTTATTAAAACGTCTTAGCTCTCGCACGCTGTTACCAGACTGGGTACGCCAGCAGCACGCAACTACAGCTGACAGCTGAGTGGACATGTGATTGTAATCATAGTGCGCAGGCGTCGAACTCACTCGTACGCTTCCATTCACATGTCCGCTCAGCTGTCAGCTGTAGTTGCGTGCTGCTGGCGTACGCAGTCTGGTAACAGCGTGCGAGAGCTAAGACGTTTTAATAAAAATCTTGTGTTTGCGTAGGAAATTAACAGAGAAAATGAAGTGTACTCTGCAGAAATATACGAATATGACTGTGACATACGGACTAGCGAGAGAAAATACTTATCGTGCGGCCGCAATTTACATGGAATCATTTCTCGGGCGTGCACGAAAACCAAGTGGCCGTACAATTTTACGTGTTGTGCAATAATTATGTGAAACTGGGTGTCGTGCATAGTATCGAGATAACCGATCTAGCAGTGCGCCTTCGTGTACGAGATAAAGAAAGGATTCTTGAAGCATTTTATCATCGTATCGTTATCAACGTGTGCAATACATTTTATCGAGGGATTTTCAACCACGGATCAATTTTTGTAAAGGTACTGTCACCATTAATTTTTTACATTTACGATATATTCAGCATATAGTAATGGCATTTTGAATAATTTTCAAATTGAGAGTGGAATAGGGCCTATGGGGGAAACCACTATAAAAAAAGCGCATCATGCTATCTACCGCAAGGTGGTGTGGAAATGATAGCGCATCATTTTCTCGCCACTAAAAGGACGGGTCATTTTTCGGCACGGTATTGCGATATATCGCAAATCACCATCATGTCTCGGAGAGCGACCCGTTCACCGCTTCGCCGCGCTCGTAGTAACGGATTACAGTAGGACGACTCTCGTCGCCGCGCGCTTCTACTCACACAGATTGGCCGATCTTCTTTATTTAATGTTTCGTTAATTATTGCGATCCCAAAACAATACAGGTCATTCCTTCTTAATTTGAGCCAATCTACTTCTTTATTTCGTTAAGATCGAAAATTGACGGACACCCTGTATATGTTATTTTTACATTAAGATTAAAATTACGTTAATTTTAAAATAAAATATATTTTTATTTTTAATTTTATAAACACAGCTTTTTTTTACGATAATATTAATTTATTTGCAATTGCAAAAATTATAATATAGTTGCATCAAGCATGATTGCTATAAATAGAACAAGCAGCATTATATAATCATAATTATTATATAAATTCCTTCTAATTTAATTTATTGTTTTGCAGATGACGAAGGAATAGCCGAATCGGGGATGTGATGGTTCGATTACTGGTTAGAAGTAATAACTGATGACGGCAAAAACGGATCTCGTTTTCTAAAGAAGCTTGAATCTTCAAGATTCTTCAAGTTTATCTGGAAAAGAAAAACGTGGAAAGAAAATGATTGGATTGGATAGAAACAAAGGCAAGAAACGTAATAATAACGATTTCACATTGGATTAATTAGATATCGTATGCAGAACAGTGTAAATCGATTGAAGGAATTTCTTGGAAGATTATCGAATAGCGTTAAATGGCAAGTGAGCATACTTGTTTTTATTCTTCTACCGTCTACATATCCGAGAGAAGCGTGTTCAATTGCATGATACACGTAGAATAGTTTCACGATTAAGATTTAATTATGTCGCGAGGGAGACGGAATGCCGCAGGACAATAAACAAATGAGAAATAGAGTGTCAAATTGAATATGCTGCCAAGTGTGGGATTACGAATCAAATTTGCATGCGCGACATTTCGCGTTTCGTTGCAACGATCGGAGATTACGTCTTTATTAATACATATACCTATAAAACCCATGTATACATATCTATAGATATATATGTGTATATATATATATATAAATAACAAGAAACTGATAAGACAGCGCAATGTCGATAGATGCAGGCCGTATAACGAGCGCAAAGATGCATATTCCACTGGTTGTGTCACGATGAGGCCTCGGACCACATCGCATCCGCAATGAGTCTAGCGAATGTTTTTTCGTTAGATTACAATGTATATATATATATGTATATGTAAGACAGATAGCATTTTTCGTATCGATCCGTATAAACTGGCGTCTTGGTTCTTCTCTCGATGCAAACACTTTTCTGAGATTACCACCAATAACACTTTGTTCATATTCTACAAATAGACGGAAAAAGATTATTTTATGTTGTCTCTCGCGTTTATCTTCTACGGAATTAAATATAGTCCTATCGGAGATGATCGCTTAAAAGCGATTCGTTACAAAAGCGAGGCGCAAACGAGGCGTTCAACGATCACGCTGGTTGAGCTATTTGTTCGGAGTGGAGAGAACCGTCCGTCCAAGAGCTATACTAGACGATGATTTAATAAGTAATAACGTTAATGTTAAATCAAATTATCTAGAAAGAAAAAAGAATCTCAAGGACGAGCGGGTGTGGATGTGCGGAGCTTTTGATCGATCCTTCTTTCTGAGATGGGCGAAACAATATCAGTGGGAACAAGAAACTCGCATTTTCGTAGAAGCCATATCATTTCTGGAAGGAATCACATGTGTGTATGTGTGTAGGTGTGCGTGTATGTGTACGCTCATGCGTATACGTGTGATGTAATACGTGTGCACATGTATGTAATTAATCGATAATCGATTGAATCGTTAGAGTGATATATACTTGTCCCCTTCCATCATTGCGAATGTTGAGTATAATAGAATTTCCAAAATATGCAACCACAGTAAACATAGTTAATCATCTGAGCAGTAAAATTCTCAGAAAGATAGATCTTAATTTTGCAGCTTAGTATTAACGAGCGATTTTTTTAATGATGACCATTCGTAGAATCGCATCGTCATTTTCGATATTTAAATGTCGCTTTTGCGCGGTTGTATACAAATGCTTCAATGTACTTAATTTTGTACTCTCGACCAGGGCGTAGTAAACATAAGTGGTTACACGTCGTAGGTAAATTTCTTTTAATAATCAGGGTTAGAATTCAATTTTCTTCGTTAGATTTTTCGAAGAATGTGAATTAAAAAAAAAAGGAATTTGTGTTCATTGATGTCGTATTTTTGGATGAGCATTTTTACATCGGTCACGTAATGAATCGTAAATTTATAAACGATTGAGATTATTGAAGGTTTATTAAATTTTACAGTAAAATTTTTCTAGAACTTATATTAATTCGTTAAGAAACACGAGTGACTTCTTATATAATTAATAATTAAGTAGATTAGCACGATTTAGGATACGAAGCTAGAAATTTAATTTTTAATTTAATAATCTATTTAATTATTAATTTGTACGACAGGGAAGAGCTTCTATATTCTATAGTATATCTTTAAATTATTGAAAGCGGATTAATAAAAATTTTATTTAATTTATCGAGACTTTCCATGAAATAATCTGATATAATTGTATTATACATACATACGCACATCGATAGTAATTATAATGCTGTTGATATATTGCTACAACATACTATCAATGTCAATTTATATTTGCAGAAGACATATTAGAGAAAGATAAAAAAAAAGGATGTAATAAATTTTTAGTAATTACGATCTTCTCCCTAACTTCAATTCTCTAACATATCGCGTGTAATATTGCTTTGGCATCTTTCAAAACTTCAATGTTCGCTTAAACGTTATTGTTAAAATAATTCGACACTCGATGATCCTTTTTAATACTCAGACAAGAATTTCCTAGATAGCAAATTTTTCTATTGTATTTTTACGCTTCACGGCAATATATGGATATAAGATATGAATATATTTGAAACATTCGTTTTGCCGCATATAAATTTATTTGATATTTGATAAATTTATTTGAGATTTAAATTTATATGATCTGTATGCGTTGCAGCTTTTCATTTTTATATGTTTATTTTAACACTGAAATCTATACTGCACATAAGATTATGTGTATTTTAGCTAATCGTAACATAACGTTGACATTGAATATGTAAAATATCGTGAAATATTCAATGTATATTTCTTCAATGCTATGACATATTGTGTCGAGATATCTAGTTAAGTGAAACACTATTTATAATTGGTTTCTTATATATTAATAACTACGCTCAAATATTCTGTTACTGTTATTAATAATTTCTTTTTTCCACTTAGAGCATAATTATTTTCTAATATTGTGAAAATTTCCTTTGTAATTTTAACTAGATTTTAGAACCATTATTTAATATATAATATTAATAATATGTTAAAAATTATTTTAATTAAGAAAATTAAAATTATGCGCCGTAATATGTACATGAACATATAATATATAGTTTAAGTATGCATTTATATATTTCTCTTTTAAAAAGGAAACAGATTGTTAATTATGAATGAGAAATAATCTCACACACATTAAATATCTGCATGTGTGTAAAAATTTTAAAAGAATTTTACTTTTTTAGCAATTTTGTGCAATCATTGTTCTTTCATAACTTAAATTTATGTAATTAAGATTCGTTAGGTTTTAAGGGATAAAGTCGTGTTAAAGATGTGGAAGTGAATCGTCAAATTTATAGTTTAGCGTTTGGACTATTTTGCATTACTTTGTTCTGTGATAAATGATCATGATCGTCAATCAAGGACGAGGAACGAAAGACCCAGGCACAGATGCGATAGGTCTTCCAAAAAACGAATTAATAATGAAGTCGTTTTCCTTTATCGCTACCACCCGCGGTTAATATGTGCGTGCCAATTGTTGCCGTTGAATCAACCGTTGACATTAAAATACAAAAATTGCGGGATGAGATTTTAATGTATTGCGTGTCGAAGCGTATCCTATAGGGCAATATTGTATATATCTTTTAACATTAAGATCTTACGTCGGGCTTATTCATAGACCCTCATCCTCAGGAGCGATTCTCTATGAAACAAATATCGAACACGAGGTGCTTTTTATTCGAAATATGTCAGATATTCAAAGCCACGCGGCTGCGAGTGTATTTTTGACATGCACGGTGCAATATTTGAAGAAAATAGGAATACAAAAGGAAGTTGTGCCGAGAAAGTTTCATCGTGTTTTCTTCATAAAGAATCGACGTACACACGTATAAGGAATTTAATTTCTTTGTAAATATATTATTTTATATCAGCTGCGAGAGGAAGATAATACGATGCGCAAGGAGCCAGAATCTCATGTCCTTCGTAACGATTCGAAACTCGTTTAATTATTTCTGTCATGTAATATCATAATACATATTAAGGTATGTGTATATCTGAGAATTTGTACAATGTGCGAAGCACGATGGTGGACACAGGTTGTCCCGCAATATCGCATTATACAAATATACAAGAGAAAAGGGACACGCTTGCATAATAAACGTGGCTCTTCCAATAATCCTTGTTATTTTATTTTCTTTATCCTCTATTATATCAATAAGCAATATATAATGTGCGAGTGGATAAAAAACTGAATAAAACATGATTTACGAGAAAAATTTTATCAGAAAATATCGGAAATATATATATCGGATAATAAATTTTTATTCAATTCTGATTTTAAAATGTCATAGTCTCATTATAATATATGTAAGTAATATATGTTTCATTAAAAATTATTTATGTTAAGTATATTTTTTACAATATTAAAAAAGAAGATAATGATATTATAAATATTTCCAGTAAAGATAAAAGAGATATTTAAACGTTTTAATGAAAATTATTTATTGTCTGTACTTTGGGAATTATTGATTTAAACCATGTATTGACAATAAAGATACTCCTGCCTGCCAATAAAAGGATTGCTCGACAGGTTCCTTTGAATATTTACTTTCCTTTCAGTTGGTTGAGCATTCTGGAGAAAATTCCACGCCCGGTGTCCTCCGCGGGTTTATCGATAACTCCATTGTCCTCATTATGAGGATGCCTACGTAGTATACGACTCAGCGATCCTGTCCGAGGACGAGCAAAAAGTTTCCTAGACGAACCGTCTTTGTCGACGAGTTTAAGCATTCTTCCCAAAGAGTTTGTCTTTTCTTTTATCGATGCTTTTTCGTCATAATTAGCGACGCATGTCACATTCTGAGAATACAAGAACCGAAAATGTTATAAGTCGTTAAAGCTTTTTCTACTTATTTATTCAAGTTAGCACATACGATAATGCGACTATGAAATTAGCTAATAATAAATATTAAAATAATTAATTCAAATCAAATAATTTATAATTAATTATTTTCTAATTAATACTATTTTACAATCACAATTATTATCGACATATGTTTTATTAGTCACAATTGGCCAGTTAGTTATTTCCGTTTATTATATATTGATAAAATAATTAAATTTGGAGATATATTAGGTTATTTTATTGGTCTTTATATTAAAGTGACATATTTATAATATTGCATTTTCCCTTGTTAGAATCCACAACATATATTATTTTATCTACAAATCTATATTTTATAGTTATCGCGAACAGAGCAACATATGAAGTATGTACAATTTAATTCAAAATCTATTAACTTTCTTCGGATGCGAGATATAAATCGTTTAATAAAACAATAGAAAAAAAATATTAAAAAAAGAGAGAAAAATTATTATTTAACAATTAAATTTACCTCTACATAAAATTGAAATATAGTGACGAGATGAAGTAAATGTAAAATTAATACAAATACAAAGAGAGTACGTTACATATATATATATATAGACGTACATTACTCTCTACAAGATTTATTCAAGGTCGGATGCGGTATAATTTGTTCTCACTATGCTCTGACATTCTCAGGATTCACAAACTTCCTTCATATATCATATTACCGAATATTACCGAAGCTCGGGTACCCTCAGAAACCCTTTTGAGAAACATTACGCTCCGAGGATCCAAATCACTTACGGTGTCCAAGTCCAGAGATCTTCCCATGGCAGGCGTACGCGTCTTAAATATTTTTCCCATTCTATCCAACGTGACGCTCTTCAACTTCCTAACGTCTTGTCTGACAGCCTCGGTTCTTGATATTGTTCGAGACAATTCTGACGGGTCTGTTGATTGTTTTGACGGTACAATCTGTCGAGCGCTGACACAATCTGTTATCATTTATAATACACGTTTTAGAGTTTAAAATTTTTCTTACATTTATTGTGCATGACATTTGTCATATATTTATATAACATTACGTGGATTTCATAAGAAAATTCTGAATTCTGATTGTACAGCATGTTATCTATCTTTATGTTGAGTTGCCAATACTGTAGTTGATATGCTATTACATCGATAATTTTACATTGAATATAATCCACAAAGTCATGCATGCGATATAAGCAATTACATTTTGCTAATTGCCTTTACGAATATATCACTCTTCCCATATGTATTGCAATTGGCGGAAAATCGATCGATACCTAGTCCGCCAATCGCACGGCAGTTGCAGCGATAAATATGGGGTGAGTCTTGAAACGTATCTCGTGTAGGCGGATATAACAGATTTGAAATAGGAAATTTTCGGAGAAAAATCATTAAATCATGGTATAATCTCATTTTTGTCAGTGCGACTGTGATTTTAAGTCAGGAAAATTACACTTGTATGATCGCAGAATAAACACGTTTTTTTTTATTGAGCCACAGATGGTGCAGTGAAATAAATCACGGGATAATTCCCTCAAAAGTTTGATATCGAGTACGAATGCGGAAATCTCATTTTCCGAGCTAACATTTTCTGCTATCTTGTCTCTCTTTTTTGTAATACTTTTTTGTGCATTATCTTTTGCAACGTTAGACAGCAGAAAGATATAAAAATATAAATATATATCAAAAAGTTAATATTGTATGTATAAGTTCCGCATACGCGAAGCGTGCGTTAAAAATACTATTAAAATTTCATTTCCGTTTCAAAATAAACGATATTGAGCGTCGAGATAAAAGATAAACAAATGGGTGGATACATTCGAACGTGTCAGATGTAATTTTAGGATGGATTATGCTATGAAACGAAATTAAAAACACACATTGAGATTGATTAATAGCTATGCAAAAAAATTATCCATTTTATGATTTTTGAATGATATATTTATTTTCTTTCATCTGCGAAGCATCGAAATTCCGTTTGAGAAAAATAATTAATAAATGAACATTATACGACTTCAAATAAATGTTATATAATTGTATGAATAATAGACATTATTTACTTGCTTTTTCGATCTTGCGAACAAAAGTATTAATTAAAAGACTAAATTTAAAGGTCACTCATGCGTTGAAGACAATCCGAAATTAAGTGTGACGAATATTCAGCATGAAAGCAAATTAATTGACTTACTCAGTGAGTCTGGTACCCGGGATTTGTTTGGATCGGCTTCATTAATTATTTCCGGCTTTACTAACATTCTGTCATCTTCTTCACGACGAGCATCATTAACGATAATCTAATACGACATTGAAATTTCATTTCATTTCCGAATTTTGATATATTTAATTAACGACCGGGTCGGTGAGGCAATTTAACTTGGCAAAAATTTGCCATATAAATTTAAAAGCGCAACTAACCTGATTCTGTGATTGATCTCTGCTTGAAGTTTTCACATCCAACTCGTCCTTCTGCATCACGTATTCGATGACAATTTCTGGCTGACAGTAATCCTCAATTTCTGCATGAATTTCGAATAAACATACAATACAAATATAAATGCTATACAAATTCATGCGTTTAATATGTCAAAAATAATATACACAAGCTATGCAATCATGGAAAATAACGATCATCTCGATTTGTCATATTGATGTAGAAAACACGTGTAACGTTTCATTTTTCTCTTTGCTCCGTTAAGGAGCTTGCTCGAGTATTCAATAAAAATATATATTTTTGCAAACTGCGTACGATATGACATGAAGATGATATTGAATTTAACGAAAGAACATGGTTCGTAAGTAGATATCATTACGTCCGTTGAATGAAAGATCCGGCTTATGCGAGTCACGATCCACGAGTCAAAATCTCTTGCTCTTCGAAGAAGAGAAATTTTCGGCAATGTCACTTTAACAGGATAGATGATCCTGAGAACTATCTTTTAGTGTGCATCGGATTGCTATTTTCACATTCCGCATTGAGATGCTTCGTCGATGATGCTTGAGAAAAGTGGAGAGACGTACAAGTCTAAGATCTTCGTCGACATTAATAGCGCATTGAAGACGACTATTGAATATATCGTAAAACCGGCAATGGCGGAATTATTGTTCGTTTGTTTTGTTGCCGGATAAACATGTCACAATACTACTGTATTTACATTTAATTAAAATGAATTATAAATTAATTATAAATTGCTTCTTTTTTGTAGAAATAATTTTCTTCGGTATTTTTTAATAACTTGAAAAGCAAGATTTGATTTGTATTCGCAAAGAGAGAAAAAGTTTTTTATTCGAATTCTACTACATCCTACTTCTAAATCTGTGCTCGTGTATGCTTGTGTACTACTGCGTAGTCGCCCCTGAGAATCATAACTGTCCGAAAAAAGTCTTGAGTGCGTTTTCATTTAATGGAGAGAGATCCCTGGTACCCTCAGGTAGGATTAACTCGGGTGATTAATTGGGTCATAAAGCAATTCTCCTTTCTCGACGGGATATTGGCCAATTGTCGACGCACGTGCGATATAATTCGAGTTTAGGATTCTAAATTAGCGAAAATTTTTGGAAAATTTTTCCTCTATAAATCTTCCTTTATTGATATTTTTATTTCATTCAATAGATAAATGTATATAAGAATAATAATTGACTCTTGTAACTTTTTTAAGCGATGAAAGATAATTTATTTACATGAATATATATTCACATATACTATGTAAATATAATAACAATGTGTCCACATATATAAATTTAAATCTAATAATTAAAAAATTAGGTATTTAAAATACATCTTTCAAAATAAATTTATTGTTTAAGTTCAAATACAATTTATTATTTAAGTTCATTCATTAATATATTAGCTTAAAAACAAGGTATTTTTAGGGCTTTAAGTAATCTACTTTATTTTAAATTATTCGCGAATCTTTTCATATTTTATCACAACATAAAAATCGTAATGCGAGAAAAATTCACACATAACCAAAGAAAAGTCGTAAAAAAGTATTCAGTTTTACATATTTTCTTTTACAGACGTCGTAAATTTAATACTGAATGATACGTAATTTTTGTACTTTTGATCACTGCGTTCAACGCAAAAAACACTTTTAAGATACAATTTTAAAGAGTTATAAAATACCGCATTAAAATAGTTAAGTTTTGTTTTCATCAATATTTAAAAAATAAAACATATTTGATTCTCTTGAACGTACATAAAGTGCAATTTTTTTCTCGAAAATCTTGCGCTTAAAAAAACTAAATAAAATACTAAATAAAAAACTAAAAAAAACTAAATAAAAAACGGATAGTCGAATCGAACAGTAAAATGAACACTATGTACAACGATACCGGCTGTTGGCTGTTTTTACCATGATGCTGAAATTAAACGTCAGATTATTTTCGTTCATTATTGCGAGACTAGTTATTCTTCAATAATGTGAATTGAAGATGGAATATAAGTATAATGAATTCTTGAAGAGAATATAATGCTGAAATGGAAATTTGTTGAAAGTGAAATTTGTGTATTCTATTACGTATAAAAGATTCAACTTCAAATGCTTCTCATTCTTGGAAAAAAGGAAAAAATGTTCTATATATGTAGAGCGATATAATGTATAATACAACGTGTGATGTTCTTCATAATGTCAACTGTCCCCTAAGGTAATATGTAGCGGTATAATTTATGGTAATGCAGAAATTGTGACACATGGAGAGTAAAATTGAATAACGTTACAAAATACTTCGAACGCATATCGCAATCCTCATTACTGGATTAATCCAATTAGACAGAAGAAATATCGCAATAGTAGAAGGTAATTCGCGATAATAACACTACAAATTAATGCTGCTTTATTAGTTAAAAAATATCGCAATCAGTAATAACAGTACTCAAAATAAAAAAATCGTTACATCACAAAAGCAAACAATTGCAGCTCTGAAAATAAAAAAAGTTCATTTGGTATGTATTATAAATTTAAAGTATTTTATTAAGAAATTTTCGTAATTTCTTTGTATACGCGTTGTGTAAAATCATGAAAGGGAATTCATCGACAAGTTGCACGTATAATCCATATTCGGTATAAACGGGAAAGCTTTAAATACTCTCACTGTCTAAATATATCGATGTCCAGATAGAAATACATAGTTACGAGCGAAATCAGAATAGTGCAACTTTCTCTCGTATAACTATGCAACTGCTGTTGAATGTAAACTATATAACTTATACTGTCGACGCATATGTAATAAATGTCGTCATGGGCCACAGCTGCGAACCGTTATATTACAGAATTAAAAATAAGAATAATATGAGCTTAAAGTATCGTTTAATCTTCATCTATTAATATTTCTGAGGTACGTGCGCTATCTTAGTTTAAAGCTTTCATTTCTTTAAGACAGATATAAAGATATCAATCTTATTTTAGTAATAAGAATCAACGGAAATTATCTTATTTTTTAATTTAGGAATATAATCTTATCTCTTTTCTCAATATATATTTTTTATTATTTATATAATTTAAAGCTTAAATAAAAATGCGCATTTCATTATCGAAGTTATCAAAGTTTAAAGTACGATTAAATTGCTTACGAGTATTTATTCTAACTTATTAAGAATATTTGGATATTTTACAGTATATATGTACATCAATACATCTTTTTCTTTTCTCTTTCTCTTTTTCTCTTTCTATACATATATATATATATATATTATATATATATATATATCAGAATAATTTTATAGTACTTGTTGAGACAAACTGTCATTTATTGTAACTTACATGTGTATTATATCGAGATATATGAATATAAATTTTTGATGTACCAATGTATAAATTCTTGATTGTCACCATCGATATTAATCTGCTTAGTGGCTCGATATGAAAAAATCAAATCGCAGCATCATGTTAGTTTCGTACTTTGCTTAACCGAAGACTGCAATGGCAATCTTT